GAAACGGGCCTAATTTTTGAACTAGTCAAATATGCAATTATTGCTTAGACAGATGATAAACTAAAGTATTTAGCTTAAAAATCTAAAGAAACACAAAATTTTTTAAAAACTTGTAATTGCAAATAAGAAATATGATATTATTTCTTTTATTTTCCATATCCGCAAGGGTGTCTTAAAGGCTTTGTAGACTGTATGGCCAGTGCTTCTTTATTTAATACAAAAATAAACTGCCTTTCCAAAAATTTTTTTAAAATTTTCTTTAAATTGCTAATTAAAATAAGCAAAATTGTTTTTCTAGATAGCAATGGAAACCCCTAAATAATTTTTCGTGTATAAATTATTAACGTCCATTATAAAAAGTTCAAGTTCATTACGAATTCGGTCATACAAAAAGTATTATACCAAATAAGTTTTACACAATCGGTGAAGTGCTGGACAATTTCTCGGAATTCCAGCGCCTTCGCACGTATAGAAACACACACACACACACGCACATATATAGGCATGCATATTGCGGTCAGTACAAAAGTAAACACACACAAGAATTTATTCACAGAAAATCGACGAAACACAAAATAATTATTATCAAAGAAAACTCCAATCCAAATGAAGAATGAATGCGAGGTTATGAACGGCGAGCGCACGGATTGAACTTGAAGAATGCAGCGTCCTGAGCCTAATTGGCGGCTTAGACCCGTTTCACGTTGTTGCCTATCGATCACAACGACAACATATTCGACGATCTTATGAATTAACGTGTCCTTGTGCGCGATCGGCACGGCACTTGAGAGTCTACACCTTAAAACGTATTGTGTGGACATGTTGTTGTTGGTTTTGTTGCATAGCTACCCAAAAGGTGCGAAAGAAAAAATCAAAATGCAGTTATGGCTTTTTCAGGCCGCCACAAAAGCAACAATGGGTGAACAAAACGAGGCAAACGGGAGTACAAAAGGAGACAAAAGCCATAAAATACAAAACAATGGCATTAACTCAAGTGTATAGCGCATTCAAATGCTCGAGTATGCGGCAGTTTGAAATAAATGTACAACAACACTAACAACAAGTAGAAGAAGAAAAATACGCAAGAACAAGAGCTAGAGCAACAACAACAGCCGCATCATGATCACACAGTAATGTAAATCAACACTCTTGTATGTGTGTGTGTATATGTGTGAGTGTGTGTGTGTTTGTGTGTAGTCAACATGAACTTGTAAACGTTGATAGATATTGCATAGGTAGAGTCGGTGCATCGTAGTAAGAGTACAATATGTAGAATCCGAAAAGGGCCAAAGGTACGTCGAACCGCAGGCAATAACAAAACACACACACACACACACAGTAAATGATGAAACCAAAAATGTACCAACAACTCAACACAACTCCCATAACTGCAATCACAGTCGACGGCTGACCAACCAGTCAGCTAGTCAACAAGGCAGAGAGCCAGCCAGCCAACAGTCGATACCAACGATATTGATCGGCCAAGCACAACACAACAGCGCTTCAACACGTCCTCAACAGCGACACGCCAACACGATCAGGCGATCGTCATCGTCATCGCTGTCGTCTAAAGCGGCTGCGCAGCCTCACTAGAAGCCAAGAGTGTGCTATAGATTGTCGCTCAGACGTCTGCAAGATGTACTCATACCACCAATGAGTACGCTGAAACACACACATACCTATACATGAGACTGTGGTGCGGCAGCTCAGCATCTGAGTATGAACCTGCGCGCTTGCGCCGCCGATGGAAAAACCAGCATAACAAGAATATTTTTTGCTTGTTGCATATCTATCTACCTGTTTTTTTTTTCATGCTCTGCTCAGCACTTGATTGTGCAAGAGCGCAAGGTTTGAACGGAAGGTTTGGTGGTTGGAGAGGAGAGCCATTCTATGAACTGTGGTACAATAAGATGTTAGCAAGATGCTGTATGTGTATATTATCGTTTAACAAGCAAAAATGTTAACTTCAGTTCCACCGAAGCTATAATACCGTTCAGAGATAAACGTTTCCATACAAGAATTTGATGGCAGCTTAAAGCTATAGTCATCCGATCTAAACAATTTGTTTGGAGATTGTATCGTTGTCTTGGACAATAATCCATGTAAAACTTCGTAAAAATATCTTTTGAAATAAAAATGTTTCCATACAAGAACTTGAGTCATTTTATATGGCAGCCATATCCTATAGTGGTCCGAAAGCGGTGGTTCCGACAAATAAGCAACTTCTTCAAAGAAAAAGACTTTTGCTCACTTCAGCTCGTCACGCTGTACTTTTTTTTTATAGGATCTCCTCCTTTCCTCGTTTCCTTCTGGGTGTAAAAAACTTCGTGGCAAACCTAGTATACCCTGTTCAGGGCATAAAAATTTATTTTTCGTTGTTTGAATAGCTTAATGTAATATAAATACAAGTCTTGATATTATCAATTGACGTTTAGCCCCCATTGGTGATATAAATCGACAATTGGAATGTAACTTTTTTGAGTTGTACATACTTCGTCCGAGTTTCAAAATCCCTACGCACTTATATACATTAGTGAAGTTGGCTGCGAATAAATTCAGTCTCCAAATCAGCTGTCGTCGTCAAACGAAATTACTTAAGAACTTCCCAATTTTCCGACGGCGCTTGAAAATGGTCCCCAACTGGCAATTTTTAACTTCCCGCTAAGAAAATGGAAAATTTTCTAAAAATCGGGAAGATATTGGTTTCACCCCATTTTGCAAAAATCGAGTTCTCAACAGATCTCGACGTTCTGAGGGTCGAGGAAGCTTCCCCGAACATTTCTACGATGATGTCCGTATGTCTGTATGTATGTGTGGATGTATGTGTGTGTGTGTGGATGTATGTGACCCTCTTATAACTATTAAACTGCTCAACCGATTTGAATAAACTAAACGACATTCCAAAGGGTTTCATTGCACTTGAATTTCGTGTAAGTTTGGACCCAATCGGACCAGTAGATTTCGAGAAGTCTCAAAAATAAAAATTTTGAAAAATCGTTTTCTACTAATCAGTTCTAAACCTTGAAGAAACACATCGTTTGCCGCAAACCGGGTCGAAATCGGTTGATTTACTTGCTAGATATCGAAAACGAAAAATTTAGAAGAGCTCAAAAGCAGTGAAAAAAGCGAGATTTGAACGTTGGCGTATGAAATTAGAGGGAAGTTGCAGGGATGGCCCTTGAGGCCAACCGTTTTCCACATTTTTTTATACTTATGCTAGGTCTAATTTAACTCTAAAACGAAAAAAAAGGTTAACTTCGGTTATACCCAAAACAATAATACACTTTACATATATTGAATATAAATAAAAATTTCCATACAAGAACTTGATTTTGATGAATAATTTTGTATGACAGCTATATGCTATAGTGGTCCGATCTAAACAATTTCTGCGGAGATTATACCGTTGCTTGAGATAATAATCCATATACAATTTTTATGAATATATCTTGTCAAATAAAAAAGTTTTCCATAACAGAACGTGATTTTAATTGTTCAGTTTGTTTGGCAGCTATATTATATAGTGATCCGATATCGGTTAAAAACTGAGAAACTAATTTGGGTATGCACAGACAGACGGGCGGACATACATTGCTCAAAGAACTCAACTCATGCTATATGTTTCTTAGGGTCTCCCACCTTTTCTTCTGAGTGTTACAAACTTTGTGGCAAGCTTAATATACCCTGTTCAGGGTTTTAAAAATAGAATAACTTTAAATTTTAACTTAACAAGCCAGCAAATATGAGCTAACGAACTTTGTTCGCAAAACTAAAAACAAAAATGTAAAGTTCATCGATCAAAAAATTTACAAAATTTAAAGGTTTATTCTCCTAAATTTATGCTACAAATATCTACGAAATCCACACACTGTACCACTACCTATGCGGCACATGCAGACACTGAGCCATGTGGACGTGAACCAGAAAAGGCTCAAACCAATATTCTTAAGAGAGAATCTGAACGAGCGCCAACTGTGAGAGAGATCGCGATGTGTTGTTGATCGGAGTTTTCCATATCATACAATTATGATTAGAGCGCAAACACGCACACACAAACACCCACTGACGTACCTACACACAATCATATGTGTTTTCTTATAATTTTACGAGTATTTATGTGCAGAGTTTTTAGCTATCAGTTGGCATGTTTGTTTGACTGTTTATTTATTTATTTGTCCGTCTGTCCGTTGGCTGTTAGCTGTCTGCTCAATCGGTCTTCGGTGCTATGTACACACACCTATACACACACCGCCAGACATACAAACATACGTATGTATGTACATGCATAGTCATATCAGTGTTTGAACATCGGTATGAACTTCGTCTTTCGCCCGTAGGTCGTCCGTACAACAGCGGCGCGTTGCTCATCTCAGCACGTCTGGCTGGTGTACCCATATACACCTATTCAGTACAAGTTCAATAATCAAAGCGTAAAGTCAGCGGACAAACAACAGCGAACGTAACAGCGTAACAACGACAATCGCACACGTTCACGACAATGAAGTACCAAAACGCCGAAAGTTCAAAAAAGTAACTAAACGACCTAACGTCCAGCAGCAACTTGCCTCAAAGGTGGTTAAGAAAGATTCTTTGATTTGCGCATGTGCTTATGACTTGTATGTGTGTGTGCTTTTTCGGATTCGGATATTTTATTGTTTTTTTTTTTCAATATTGTTTGGCGGTTATTGTGTTTTTATGATTTAAATTAAGTTCTTGTTTTCCAAAAAAGCTGGAGTCTGCATAGGAATTCTTTAGAATTTTAAATGCTACATTTATGTGATTATATTGTGCCTTATAGCTGGTGTATGTGTGTGCGTGTGCATGTGCGTGTTTTGTGTTATTAAACTAAGCCAAGCCAAGAATGCAGGAGAAGCAAATAAAAAAATAAAAAAATATAATGGAATTGTGCTTAAAAGAAATCTTGTTTTTAATCTTCAAAATTACAACCAAATAATTTGTTATTATTTTCGTTTTTTCTCTTCCACACCACCATTCTATAGTTAATCCGTTGAGGTCATTATTTATTCATTCGTCAATTCTGTGAGCTGATTTATGTGCGTGGAATACTTTAAAGCGCCTTGAGCTGCGCAACGTACACACATAGGCAACATAGGACGTAGTGACTGGTGAGCGATCGAGCGCACGTCGCGGAAACCTAAAGCAGTAGTGTGTGTGTGTGTCTGTCGCTTAGCGTTGTGACGGCTGTAGCTGTAGCTAAAAGCGTGCGCTAAATATTTGTCATTATCATTAACGCCAGTGTATTAAATGTTATCGGCTGTTGAGAATTTTGGCCCGTTGGTCGGACCGGCTGTTGCACTCTCACACCATCCCCATGCCGCGACGCATCACCTACAAGCGCAACATCATCCGTATACCGCTGAACGTAGTCCCAGCTATGCGCTGGACATAGTGTCCGCCGCGGATGCTACTGTGCGCGTTTCGGCCGCCCTCTCACCGCCCACATCCATAGTGCCCGTCACTTCCGCCGCCGCCGCCATCATCTCCACCCAGACACCGCTCACACACACGCAGTTAACGCAATTGAATGCGTTGCAAACGCTCAAATTACAACAACAACTGCAACAACAGTACGAACAACAATTGAGTAGTTTCATTAACGCGCAGTCCGCGCAGTCTACGGCGTTAGGCGGTATAACGGTGTTGCCGCATCGGCCGCAACCGCAAGTGGTGTCGCTTAACGAGGCGCGTGAGCAGCAGCGGCAGCAACACCAGCAACAGCAACATCATCACTACCAGCTGCATCAACAGCAGCAACAACACCAACAACAGCAGCAGCAACAACAACATCAACAACATTTACGTGAACAACAGTCAATCAGCGTGAACTTGACGCTGCCTACAAACGCACCAAAGTACATGAGCTCGCCGCGCGATACCTCAACAATGATGCCGCTAACAGAGTTCACACCACCACAAAAACCAAAACATGAACCACACACTGCAATGGAAAATGGCCAGTGCGGCGCCATGAATTTGGTCACAAACGCGAGCAATGCTTTTGCCAGCAGTACAAATTACCAATTACACCACGCTAACGCGCACGCCAGCAGTAGTAATAGCAATCCCGCCTCCATTGACAACAGTCGGCCGTCGTCGTCTTCCTCATCGGTAGATGTGGAGAATGACGAGAGTATGTCACCGGTTAATGCAACGCAAGCTGCGCGCAAGTTACTGGACCCTGCCGCTTTGCTGGCGCACAAACAACCCACTTACAGCGAAACCAGCGCATCCTCAGCAGCTGCCGCCGTAGTAGCCGCCTATCAATTTAACTACTCACAATTATATGGCGGCGGTCGTCCGGCTGGACTCTATAACGCACCCGTCATTTTTACAGCACATAATCCACACGTATCGCACGTGGTGCAGCATCCCAGCGCCGTGCATAGCGCGCACGCGCCACCAACCGCCTACCTCGGCGCATTGGCGACGCACACAGCGGCGGCTTCGCCAAATGAAAACAGCGTATACTCCGCCGAATACTTTAAGGCGCTGCAAAGCGCGGTAGCTGCAGGTGTATTTCAAACGGTGCCCAATCACACAACGCCCATCTTTCAAACGTCACCGCTGGCCAGTAGTAATTCGACGCCGTCAACTATTGGCGTGACAAAGTCGCGCTTGCGTAGTCCCGCTGCAAGCACGGCGACAGCACAGGCGCCAATTGCTTCACCGCCTAGCAAGGCGGAACAGCGTGCGGCGACGTCGACGAAACTCTCCACTGGCACTTACCTATATGAAAAGGCGAAAAGATCGCCGCCCGACACGCCCGCAGACACTGAGAAGTTCTTCAAGATACCCAGCGGTAAGGAGGGCTCACTCAAGCATCGCATACTCACGCGACCGTCGAGCGCCGATAAGACGTTAACGACAGCATCGGGTGCAGAAACTGGCAAGACGCCTATTATGCGGTAAGTTGCGCAGTCATTTATGGTTTAATGCAAATTTACCTTAATTTCAATTTTTTATATGTTTTTTTAATTTTCCACAGCCCACACAATTCGACGTCCAGCTTTAAAAAGGGCTCATATATTGAACTCTCGAATGGCTCGCTGCGCCGTGTGGAGGACATGCGCACCGAGGATTTTATACAAAGCGCAGAGCGCAGTCCACATCACCAGCTAATCGAATCCACGGTCGTAAAAATCAACAACAACCCTTCGTCACACACTGTCGTCATTGCATTTAGTTACGATCGTAATCAGTCAAAGGTAAGCTAATGTTAATGGATCTTATATTAATCACAAATTATATTTTTATTGAGGGCATTGTAGTAGGCTAGGTCTATGTTGTGTATCAGAAGCGATAATACGGTTCCAAATATAACTTTTCATACTTTCCTCAATTGTTGTCATGAACTTGAAGTTCATTGTTTTGATTACAATTTTTATCTCAGATGGATTTATGATACGTCTGCGAGTGCAAAACGAAAGAAGTCAAAGTAATATATTTTATAGAAATAATTGGCTTGGAGAGGCGAGAATATCAAGAGATATTTCGACTTATCGATATATTATTCTTTTCATAACCTGGGCATATTAAGTTTGCCACGAGGTTTGTAACACGTCGGAAACGTTGGGGTTCCTATACATGTATATGTGTATATATACGTATTATTACTGAACTTGATGAGCTGAGTCGATTTAGCCAGGTTTGTCGAATTAATTTTGAGATATCAATCTGAAATTTTGCACATGTCCATTTTTTTCCAAGAAGCTGCTCATTTGTCGGAACATCCGATATCGGAACACTATAACATATAGCTGCCGTACACTCTGATCGATAAAAATCATATTCTTTTTAAACTTTTTTTATAAACGAATGGTATTATAACTTCGGTGCAACCACAGCTAGCGAGTTTTCTTACTTTATATACACACATACATAAGTGATATTCATTCAAATGACACTCATTATCTTCCAGGTCGACATGGAGGTCGCTACCGAACATCCGTTTTTCGTTTATGGCCAAGGCTGGGCATCCTGCAATCCCGAATTGACATACAAAGCTTTCGGTTTGAAGTGTCAACGCTTACAAGTCGGCGACATCTGCATTTCACTAACCAAACGCAAACCACCGAATATAATTATAAACAACAATTACAACAACAACAACAATATTATAAATAGTAATAACAATAATAATAAGCATATGTATTCACACGACACAACTACAACCACAACAACAACAACAACACGCACGACAACAAATGAAAGCCATTGCCTAGAACGTGATCTCCAACCACTCGTATTGAACGACAACGTGTATGCTGCGCATTTAAAAAGCGCCGGCATATGCCCACCGCCCACCGCACCATACCCAATAATGCGTGGCGCACATGGGGGTACGGTACACTTTATGCCTCCCCACCTGCTCGCCAATGCATCCGCGACCGTCACACATCCAGCGCCCTATGCGCCCAACGAAAGATACCCACACTTCCCTTTCCCCACGTCACCAGCGCAAGCGGCGTCAACACCTTTGCATAGTTCGCGTGCTCAACACGGCGATTTAACGTGCGCGGCGCAATCACCCACGAATAGCAGCACAAGGTCAGCGGATGAATGTGCCCAGTCAGTTGCGGCGGCGGCAGCAGCAGCCGCGTCAGCGCGCAAACGTCGCTGGTCAGCGCCGGAGAGTTTTTCCAATAGCGAAGATGAGGACGACGAAGCCGCGCGGTCGGGTGAATATCAACCGCCATTGCGGCAGAAATCGGCGCCGACTGCGGCGGTAAGCAGCAATTACAAGCCTTACATGCCAACGAATATGAATATGTCAGCGACGGCGGCAGCGACGGCCGGTCAATTAAACTGTGATTTTTCAACAAACTACAAATAGCAAAAGATCTCAATGTTGGCGTGTGAATTTCAAGTCAAGGCCTGACCTCGTGCGTTGTGCGGTGTATTTGGGAAACATCTCAATTTATATACGCTAAATATTCAACCATATATGATATTATATATGTATGTATTAATGTGCTTTAAGTCGTGGATTAGCGCTAAGTGTGAGAAAAGGCTCAGCGGTTTAACTGTCGACGGCAAAATATTATTTATATTTTTAAATTGTTTAAAGCGGCTTTTAGATATTTTATTCAAAAATGAAATTAATTTAAATTTAATTCAAAGCATGGCGTAAATATGTATTGTAAAGCAACTTTGTACAATTTACAGTTTCAGGATCGACCTACAGTGTTTCAGAGTAGATATAGGATAGGAATCCATGACTTTACAACTGTTAATATTTGTATTTAGTAATATGTTTAGAAAATTATATTTTTATTCGAGTACGAGTATATGAATATCAATGAAAACATTTGAGTATTTAAATTTTCGAGTTGTCAGCCATTTTGTCGCGTGTTTCACTAATTTTAAGCAAATAATTGTAAAAATAAATATTTTAAAGATTTATGTGTACAGAGTTTAAAACACACCAATATGCACATGTATAAATGTATATACGCATATATGTATATACATGAATATATAAATATATAAAGAATATTCCAGGCGATATATATACGATATGTATGTATGTAATACCATGTCAGACTGTACATTTGAAATTATAGCCATATGTAAATGTAATTTAATGTAGTTATTTGTAGTTATTTATATTTATATGCATACATACATATTTATGTAGTTATCAGATAAATAATGCTGAATACATACACACATACAAAAAAGTTATTGCACACGTGCTTGTGCATGTTATGTAATTATGATTTGATTGTAATAAATGAAAAAAGAATATATGTAGTCCTGCAACAGTCACTGCAATAAAGACTAAGTTTTCAAATATAAAAATATTGATTCGTATTTTGTTTAAACAAGAAAAAAACGTTAGTTTTGGCTGCTGCCTTTTGAAACAAAAAATTGTTCCATACAAATACTTGATGTTAACCGATCACTTTGTATGGCAGCTATATGCTATAGTGGTTCGATCTGAACAATACGCTCGGAGATTGTAGGGTTGCCACAAACAATGAGCCTTGCCAAATTTCGTGAAGATAATAATGTGGCAGCTGTATGCTTATATTGCTATAACGCCGATATCGAAACGAGTAACTTCTTGGAGAGAAAGCATGTGCGCAAAATTTCAGATCGATATCTCAAGAACTAGTTTGTGTATATACAAACAAACGGACATGACTAAATCGACTCAGCTCGTCACGCTGATCATTTATATACACACTTTATAGAGTAAAAATAAAGAATATAAATGATACTACTATTACAAGAATTAAAACATGCTTAAATGCAAATAATTCAACTTAAGATGTGAATGCAGTTGAGAATTCTGCCGCTACAACAACAACGATAAACATGATTATAACCTATCTCACTAGCTATAAGTAACTAAAGGCGTATGATACTCGTACTGAAACTATCTATCTTTAAATTATAGTTAACTTTCAACACCCATTATACCCTTAATCTAAGATTTTAAGAAAATCAGGACGTACCACGATGCTAATATGCTCTTACTTTATTTGCTATTAACGGCTTTGTTATTACATTACTGCAAACTCAATTTATTTTCCATAAATATAAGAGTAAAAGTCGAAGTAAGTGGTTCTAACCGCCTCAATTACCATAACAATACTGCGCTGACCGATACCACCGCTTGTGACATAAGCGCGTCCATCGTTATTGCTTTGATAGGTGGTGATTTTTACATATGTAATGACGGCGCCAGTGCCGCTGCTGGGGTATCTCACTGTTACCCTTAACGACGTGGGCAGGTCGTAATCATTTGTGCTCGATTCCGTCGATACGAGCCTGTCACCTGGCGGCGGAAAAAAATGCACAATATATTATAAAAGAAATTATGAAAAAAATGTCCAATTCAACATACCACTCTCTCTACCGCTACCCAAAGTATAGGTGACTATACTTCTGCCCCGTGGATGCAGCGCACGGCCATTAATCGCTTCTTGATCTGATATTGTCGCTTTCATTTCCACAGCATTGGGATTTTGCGTCAAAATCTTATCCAACTCCTCGGTTGTAACCACCTGCACGATTAAATTCTTTCCATCTTTTAATTGCTCTTGATGTATTTCCGCTGCATTGATAACCAAGAGGCAAGACACTAGAGCCAATAGGCCTATTAAGGCTATGCGCTCGTACATATTAATACCAAACGTGCTTCAGGTTATTGCACAATTCTAATGTTAACTTGGGTCCACAATTAAATTAAGCATTCTATTGGGTAAGCTTATATAGTGAACGCAACGGATATATACATATGTGCCGCTTCGAAATTCGTTGTCTATGGAAGTTATCTTTCACGTTTCTTATCACATGACTACGCTTACATTTGATTTACACTCTGACATATGAATATATGCAATAATCTACGTTTTTGCACTGTCCAATATAGAAAACTTAATTAAAATATATAAAACATACATATATAGAGGATATTGAATTGTGGGTACTATAGTATCTTTGATTCCTATATAATGATTTCTTTCTTATTGCGCTAGTGATAGTACGCTTTCATCATCCAACGCAAACTCTCATCCGCAGTAATAAATGTTTTAAACATTTTCGCTTCATACATATATGAGTGATATAAATAAATTGGTACAAGAAAACACATTAACTTCGGTTACACTGAAACTAGAATACCCTTCACAAATAAAAAGGTTTCATACAAGAACTTGATTTTGATCGGTAAGTTTGTATGGCAGCTATACGCTATAGTGAACTGATCTGAAGAATGTATTCGAAGATTGTAGCGTTGCCTTGGACAATAATCTATGCCAAATTTGGTGAAGATATCTGGTCAATTAAAAAAGTTTTACATACAATAATTGTATTGTGATGGATCATAGAAAATTTAATATACCCTGAGGGCAAGAGCATTTGAGCTTACTAAATTTAATGGGTGTCTTAATGTGCTTTTTCCCTATTCCGTATTCGCCTAGCGAAGAACTTACAACCCTACGAGAATACCACAATTTTCCTCACGGACGCTTACGTTTTTTTTTAAGTTTCAATGTCCGATTCATGATCCTCACACCCATTAGACCGATACGCACTTGTTTTTCATCCTCATATTGTCAATTTACCGGCTATATCGACAGGCGTAAAATCGGTTGATACATTCTACATACTTCCGCCTCTGCCATGAGTTCGGAAAATATTTCCACACAGATGAGCGAATTGTAATTAAAAACAAAATATGCTTTATACACATACGTGCATATGTATGTGAAAACCGGGCCTATATTAAATGTTCTCTCGGTGCTTGCTTTATTATATAATACCTGAAATTCGAATTTTTAAATTTGCGCGGTTACTCAAGTTAAGCAATTTTATTATGAAATGCCATTTCCTTTGATTGATCCAAGTTTTTCTTTTTTAGCAGCTCTGACAGCAGTAAAACGAAGTAAGCAATCCATATAATATAAAAATCTTTACACACACTCAAATTCTTGATATTTTATTTATGTGATTATATAAACGTTTTTATTTGTTATTATTAACATTCGAATTCCAAAAAAACATATACATATGTATGTATTTCTAAACCGTCGAAATTTCAGCACACTCTGTGGTCTGTGTCTTTGACCAGAGAAAGTATATAAATTATAATGACATTTTTATACGATACAATTCCAAAGCAAAGCAATTACTGAAACTCTTTCTAAATATCAATAGAATATTACAAATGCGGTCTCTAACAAAGATTATGGACATTATTTTTCATATAAATTAAAATATTTACAAATCATTCACCTAAGTCACGCAGTATTGCGTTCTAAAAATCGATAAATATTTTTATACCTTAAATTTATCGATTATAAAAAATTCAAAATTATTTCCAAGAATCCACAAATTGACAGCAGCAGTGTTCGCGCTTTAAAATAGGTTCCACTAAAACATATGGTTGATCATAACGACATTTTTTTTATATAAATAGCCTCAGCAACCATACATAAATAATTAAATTAATAAAAAAGTAGTGTTTATCAAACATTTTCCTATAATGCATACTTTAAAAGCGAGTTATGCCGAAATTTTGTGAAAATTAGATATTTTCTTACACATTGAATTCCGTCACATGTGGCAACATACTCGTTATTTCGCATTTGTTGTTTTCGTGGCCTTATCTTGAACTGTCTTTAACATTGGTGTGAGATTTTCCTCGAAATAAATTTGAGCTATTTTATTAGTAACTGTAACTTTCATAAAAAATAAGTATTCCAACGGATGAGTGATGAGCGTAGAATGCAGGATGTTCGATTGGGAGGTAATTAAAGTGTTGAACTTCTTTTGTTTTGTGTACATGTGCTATATTCTCATTGTTACCTCCTGCCTACCCGTCCCTCCTATAAATGGTACGGCGATCAGGCTCAGTCAACAACGTGCGGACACAGCCCCAACATAATCATTTGTCATTGGGCGAAAAGATGCCTACAGCAAAAATGCCCTCACTTATTGTTTCACATATCTATGGGGAAGACATGAAAATATCGAAAATATTGCGGCGTCTGCAATCGGAAAACAATGCGACAGCTGCATTGGAACTTTGCAACAAGTTGGAAATAGGTGTGCGGGCGCAGCCAAATGCAACGTACATATGCCGTTGCTTCGATTTACTAATGGAAAACATGATAAACGTGTTGAAACAATGTCCGGAAGAGTGTTTGGAAAAGGCAAGCGCAATAATGGGTCTAATGGGCTATATTAATCGTAATGATTTCCCAGTCTACAAAAATTATGTCATTAAAGCGTATCAATCGTGTAAGTCGATTCGAAAATATGTGATGCTAGCGCTCAAAACCACATTCAGGTAATTTTCTTTGCAATATTCAAATTCCTTTAGTTGTGATCCATTATTTTGTGACACAGTTGCGATGCCGTCAATTTGGATTTAAGTGTGTACAGCGAACGCTTATTGGCTGTACTAAAAGATTACTTGGAAAATGCTGAGGTAGTCGAAATCTTTATAGCCGTCAGCGAGACAATTGCCGAATTTTCAAAACATTACAAGCGTGCTTTCGAAGTACATTTCATGGATATTGTCGATATTATTGTTGGTTGGCATTTAGAGGTCGAACAGTCGGCTAACCTTAAATTACACTGTTCCGTTGCATTGCAACAATTTGCGCCATACTTTCTGAAAGAATTGGATTTTACATTTCGACTTTTGGGACAATTTCTAGAGGATATTGTGACATTGGGTGATGAAATTTCGCATTCCCCATCACCAACAGACTCGCTCAGTGGCGAAGTTGGCGCACAAAATCAACAAACAAAAGTAGAATTACGAATCGGTTGCTTTATTGGTGCATTCAACTCAATTTTGAAAACTTTAGCAAATCGTGTCGAATTTGTCGGTATGATTGTGGGACAAAGTATTGTGAATGAAGCAGCTATGACAATATCTAAAACAGCTGAACAAACGCTAACAGTTACATTAGCCAGTGAAGATACAATAATGAATATCAATGACTTTTTCTGTCTACTTTACACGAATAGTTACGATATAATTAATATGGTGAATATAGAAGAGCTAATAGCGCTGCAAATGAAACAAGTGAATTATTTTAGTGATGCACCTAAACAGAGCTTACTTTACCTCATACTTTGCGTGTTTAGGCAGCTGCGCACACAACTGCCACTATCCACAGTCACTTTGGTATTTGAAACCACACACAATCCGTTGGCCGCTATCAAATTCACCAATAACGACAATCTGCGACGCCTCTTCCTGAAGGTGTACCACGAAATATTAATGATAAAAAATGTGCCATTACTACAGGAGATCTATCGCCATGTCACCGCCGATATGTTTAATGCAATAGCAACGCTGGAAGCGTATGACGACATCAACGCTGCTGACCAAACTAGCAAGATGTTGCGCGCTGAGGCAACGCTTAATTTCTATCTGACTGCTTTGTCGGTGTTGGCCACACAAACATCGTCCATTATTAGCATGTACGCGCTATATCCTTCGATTTTGGAACTCTTAATTACGAATTGTAAAGCAGGCGCTACACACTTGTGGCTACGCCATCCTACATTGCATAACGCGTTGCTCAGTGTGCTTGTCGTGCACTGCCAGAAGAATCACAATTTTCGGCCAACATCGCGTTTGCTGAGTGAGCCGCTTTTCGCACCGAAACACGCTTTGGATGAAAACAACTCACCCACATCGGAGAATTTTAGTTTGATTTTACAATTTCTCGCTGGCATTTTGAGCGCTGCGAATGATTTAAACGTGACTAATTTGAATTTGCTGCTCGATTGGGTGAGCTACATACTAACTGAGTGCCGTGAAAATGCCGCTGTTTTGCAACAACATGCCAACTTCATCACCATTTGCAAGTCCATAAGTCAAGCTGTGTTCGCGTCGTCACTCAAATGCGCCAAATGCATAGAAATTGTGCTCGACTATGCCACAATCAATGCTGAAGTTTTGGCATATTTTCGCCAAGCAGCGGTAATTATGCTGGACGCGAATGATGCCCGCGTACGTAGCGCGTACACAAGCATACTGGGTAAGTTACCGCTAACCATCTGTCTAACGTCCGATTGCATAAGCAGTGACATTGGTGTGCGTAAATTGGAACTCAACGATCTAATGCAATGGTATCGCTCCACCGCATACAATGCGCCATTGCGCAACAAGTATTTCAAACCGTTTCTTGAGCGCCTGGAAAGGGACACGACCTGTGGTGAATACGAACCGCTCTGTCAATACGCCGCTGAGGTATTCGACAAGTGTTGGGTGGCGCGTTCACGTGAGAACTGCTCGGCCTATGAGGCAGCAGCCAGACGTAGTTGTTGCGCGCTTGCTCTTTGGTTAGAGTACGAAGCGGCGCGTCAATGTGTACGCAATAAGTTGCGCACTACAATTGGTAAACCGCAGGAGACCTTTCTCGCCATAGAGGCAGTCATCTCAAAATATGCGCGTATATTGTCTACAAAGAGTGGTCTGACCAATGTGTGCACGGCACGCAAAGTGACGCTGTCGAATTTAATGTCACTACAACGTAATACGCGCCTGCTGCTTGGCTTTATCGATAGCCTGGAGAAGCATATCTATAATGCGGCCGAAGGTACCGCGTTCGCCATACCAGCGCTGGAGAAGCCGATCAAAACATTCTTCCGCATCAACGCGCACACTTGCAATGAGTGGCTGAATCGCATACGACCGAGCATTAATTTGATTGCAATGCACAGCATGATGCCGGAGCTGGTTATACGCAACGCGGAGGTAAGTTAAATGATAAAACTGATAAAATTTTTTTTTTTTGTTTGACAAGCAAATCTTCCTTGCAGGTCATTTTGCGCATGGATAAACTGAGCGACGTGCAGTTGGATCATACCATAATCATGCTGGTGTGGGCGTTACTCTGCGCTGACGAGTCTTGCACGCTGCAAGGTCTATACATTTGGCTGAAAACGAAGCATCCGAAAGCCGCTAAGCGCTGCGTATGGATTTTGTATGCTGCTGAGCAAGCTGCTGGGCATAAAGAACAAGCCGCCGACAGCTATGAAGCGTTTCTCGTCGAACACGAGTCTAGTTTGGATACACGCAGCAAAGAATTTGTTGTTGAGCAGTTGATTTACTGCTTGTACTACACCAGTCAGTGGGCGCGTTGTCGTCGCGTTCATGCGCGTTATAAAAGCGCCGAAAAGCCAGATGATTTACACTACGAATTAGCTGAAGCGCTCGTGGATGATTACGAGAGTGAGGCCAGTCGTAGTGTCGCGCTGCAGAATGCCATCATGGATTTGACCAGCTGGTCGCCAAATAGCAGTGGTGCAGGCAGTGAATCATCCGCGCCGGCGCCAGAGACATTTTCCTACTACTATATTACGCAACAACTACAAGACGCCTGCGTTGCACATGCGCTTAAATGGGATGCCATGTCGACGCCGCCGCTTAGCGAAGACGTGCAGGCGTGTATACGCAGCGGTGTGCAAGAGTTGCCCTATCACAGTCGCATGCGCGTAGGTGAGCATCGCAACGCGCTAACCGATATGCTCATACTCAATCATGTGGCGCAAAAGTTGACTTGTACGCAGAGTATGTATGCCGAGCGCATGCATGATATGCGTAATATGAATGATACAGAGAAATCTACATTTTTATTGAAATCCCTAATGTGGACGCTCTTGTTTGAGCAGCGCTTGGGCGCGTCGGCTGATGCCGCGCGTCATTATGCGCTATACTTGGATGTAGCGAATAGCGCGCGTCGTGAAGGTAACGGCAGTTTTTGTCGCGCTATGTTGCAACGCTTTTTCCGTCTAAAAGGTTTTGATGAATCGCTCTCGGAGGTGGCGCGCATGTTGCGTGAGAATGAGTACACCGTGAGCGTACATGATGCCGATCTGGTGCGCGGCTTTAGCGAGTTAGCGAAATGTTCCTATGTCAATTCGGCCAATCAAATGAATGCCATCAGCCTTGGCGCTGCCTACTGTACACAAATTATACAACAAGTGCAAGAGCAACCGCATGCCACATATCCACCGAGCAGCGCTGATATGCTGCTCACATTAGCCGATTGGCTGTCGCCGCGCGTCACGGGCTCTACAACTTGTCATAATGTGAGTGGCACAACCGTGCCTAATAACAATGTGAACGCTGCACTGGCTTTGACGGAAATGCAAGAATTGTTGCAACACCTGCCCGACGTGACGGTGCATTTGGTGAAAGAGAGCGCTGACGATGCCGTTAGTACGCTCATACCTTCGG